GGGAAGCAGGGGAGGGGGCGGAGTTGGGGCGGGGACTTTGGGGGAGGGGCGGAGTTTGGGCGGGGGCGTGGGCGGGGCGGGGCCGGGGCCCCATGGAGTGTCCTCTTTTGGGACACTCCACATATGGTAACCCTAAGTAAAACACGTAGCAATTAGTTCAGAAGTAATGCTGTTTGATTTGGCTCCCATGAGCCAGATCTTTCTGGTCTTGGTTGCAGTTTCAGAAAGAAAGGAATTGGCCCTTTTAGCATTTCTCTTCTGTTTGTCACTTCAATTATTTCACCAAATAACACTGCTCGGAGAAAAATAATACAATAGATTTGTGTCGTGCCTTTTTCTTTTTCCCTTAAAGTCCTTTAGGGACATGGATGGGTTTTTTAGAAGTGTCTAAGGGAGTTAGGCACCCAGCCTCATTGCAATTAAATGGGCATTGGGCATCTTTGACAAAGAAAAGCCATTCTGAGGGAAGGATACAAGTACTGAGTAAAAGGGATTGCAGGCTAGTTCTTCCAGTGCTGCATTTTCAATACAGAGGTGTGAGGTACAAAGCAGATCCAATGGTTCTAGCAAAGTACCAGGAGTCGGGCGTTCTAAGCTTTGTATTCCTGGCTCTTTCACTAACATAGTGTGCAACTTTGTAAGTGTGCACTTACCCTCATTGTACTCAGTTTCCCCATGTGTCAAGGATTTACCAACTTCCCAGGAGCGTTGCGAAGCTTGATCTATTCGTGTTTGTAAAGGTGCTCTGAGCTCTTCAGCTGGAAGGAGAGATGCAAGTGTAATGTAGTGGCATTACATGTCAAAGTACTCAAATTGAAAAGATACCATACATCAAAATTATCTGTCATGATGGTTCTCCATGAAGCAATTTACAAAGTGTAGCTGTATCTGTAGGAACAACATTTGATTTTAGACCAACAGGGGCCGTAGGATTGTTTTTTTTTCTTTGGGGCTTTCATAAGAATTGTAAGCAATACAGTTCAGGATAGATGCAGTGACTAGATGACTCTCATATAGTCTTATTCATATACTGCTTGGACTTTGAGCTCTTCTAGGGAGGGATCGTGTTTTCACAGTGGGCTCTCACCAGGGTTGGAGGGGTCTGTGAATGTTCTTGTAGTATGAGTGTGATAACGTCGTTAGATCAAATTATGTACCATACATAGCTGGACTGTGGTCCAAGACAAAAAGAGAATTCCTAATAAATCATGTGCAAAAGATGAATCAAGGCCTAATTTGTGCATTTTCTCCCCAGTGCTCTGTAACTTGTGGAAACGGCACACAGGAACGGCAGGCTTTGTGCAGGACAAGAGAGAATGCTAGTGGCTATTGTAAAGATGACAAACCGGAAACAATGAGGATCTGCAGACTATCTCTATGCCCCAGTAAGCACTCTGCTCTTTGTTCTTGTGACTGGCATGTTTTGCTAATTTTGAAAACATTATTGCAATTAAATGTGGTCAAACAGTGAAGCCCTCCTTAACTGAATTCACATGCATGCAAGAGGTTAACTTGTATCCATCAATATGTGCCAGCGGTTTCGAGCGTCAATGAGATTGTGGACCTGTAAGTGGTCTGTGTGGCTAGCATACTTTCTATGCCTCATTATTTCACAGTGATATGGGACACTAGCCAACCTAGCTGCTATGATATTGCAGGCCAGAAGCCCAGAGAACCCTGAGGTGGAATTATGGGAACTGCTGCTGCACAGTGCCAATGATTCTGAGAAGTGTTGGGATTGGCCAGAGTGTGGTGGGGCGGTACCCATTAAAAGCAGCACTGTGCAGAAGTGGGCCTCTTCCTGCTCCATCTCTCCACCAATGACATCTCAGGGCTGTTGCTCTCGTCCTGTCACTTCTATCAAGACAGGTCATCTTTAGGAATTACCTTGTTTGATGTTTCAAGGCTACAATATATTTGTGTCCACTGAGCCTGTTCCTGTCCTCACTGGGTTTTTGGCCATTTGCAAATGTTGCCTGTGAGATCATTTAAAAATGATAAATTGTATCATTTTGCAGTTTATTAGCAAAACATCAGTACAACTATTGAGAACAATTACTGAATACTAAGTATAAATATGGCCTTGGAGTTAGCCTGTTGACTTATTAAGAAGAGTATCACTTACATGTACCCTGCCAACGATCCTAAAGAGTGCAGCTGTTAAACACAAATCTGATGACCCTTAGGGCTGGTCTACACATACCCCCCAAATCGAAGTAAGGTACGCAAATTCAGCTACGTGAATAACGTAGCTGAATTCGACATACCTTACTTCGACCTTACCGCGGTTCAGACGCGGTCCACACGCGGCAGGCAGGCTCCCCGTCGACTTCGCGGTACTCCTCTCGCTGAGCTGGAGTACCGCAGTCGACGGGGATCACTTCCTGGTTCGATTTATCGCGTCCAGACCAGACGCGATAAATCGAACTCGGAACTTCGATCCGCAGCCGTCGAACTAACCGGTAAGTGTAGACTAGCCCTTAGACTGCAGTACATGGTTAATACTGCTACTGGAAACTGGTACTTTTCAGTCTTCCTTCCAGGTTTGCTATTACGCTCCAAACCCAGGGAGCAAAATTATTAATTAATAGCAAATTGAAAAAAAGCCCTCAACTATTCAGTTATTCTAAAAGATACCAAACTAGCAACATCCTAGTCTCTCTCACTGCTACCTTTTCCACTCAAGCCAGCTCAATCTGATCCAGTTATGACCTAGTAAAGCTACTGCTGTTAATACATTTTGTGCTTACATTTTTTCCTCTATTCCAGGAAATGTTTCTGATCCATCAAAGAAAACCTATATGATACAATGGCTGTCAAGACCAGATGGAGATTATCCCATCCAGAAAATATCTTCAAGTAAAAGACCCATTTATAACTCTGCCTTTGCCCTTAAATGCAGGCCACATCAAATGTGGACTTTGCCTTTTGCTCTTTCCTTCTCTATCTATGGAAAATTCCCTTGACTTTACCAAGTTAAATCTTGGGCTGAATCTTTTTTTCGCACTGGGCCCTTGGTGCGCAGTGTCTTTCTTCTCTGGAGCTCGTGCACCAATGATGGCGGAGGTCTTGGAGTTGTTGGATGTGTGAAGTAGGATCTCTGCAGTATGTTGTATGTTGCACTCCTCTGAAAGGGAGCTGGGGTCAGTTTGCTTGTTGGTTGGTGATGGTGAAAAAAGGCTTACTGGTTCATGATGTTCAGTTTGATAGCAAAACTGAGAACTTATTGTGAATGTGATCACATCACAATGATGACACCGTGTAGTGCTAAAGTTCTCCTTTATCTAAAGGCTCTGAATCTCATAACATGCTAGTTTTCCTTTCGGGGGTAGTTCGTTGGATGAAAGAATTCATTCCAGTTTCTGTTGCAGTGTCATTGCTTACTTATCCATGCTGCTCAACTTTATTCCTAACTTAATAACTGTGTTTGTTTTTGTGAAGAGCTTATTATTACAAGTAGCTCAGGTTCTGTTGATATTTTAAATGCTGCTATTGTGCTGTACGCTTTCTTCAAACTCCTACCTGTTTTGAATATTTTCTTTTCAAAAGCTGCAAGGTTCTTTTTTTCTGCATACAGTTTTGCCAGAGTTTTGCATATTTTTCCTAAGTTTTGTTAAATGTAAGTGGTCCAAGCTATAAAGGTTTGTTGGTGGTGGTGTTTTTTAAACATAGTTGAGGCAATATGACATTTTCATTGACTATGATGTCTCAAGTTGCTCAACATTGAACTACTTATGATCATTACATCCATTGGTCTTTTTTCACCATATGCATGTTTGACTTGATGGGTATGATTGTGTGTGTGTATGTTCTATATATGTGTCAACTGGCAAACATAACAGTGTGAACAACTACAGAATTACCTCAATTTTTATTGCTTTTTTTTTTTTGCATAGAAAAAAAATAAATAAATTTTAGAAAAATGCCTTAATATTTAAATGTAATGGCATTAAGTACCAGATCCAGCTTTAAATACAAACAGTACACTGGAAACATGAGTTAATCTTCATAAATAGCATTTTTACTTGAATGATAAAATATTGGAAGGAAGTAAATTTAATCAAAGGTTAATTTGCACAGTCCATGTACATTTCATAAAGAAAAGGTCATTATTTAATGTCTCAAAATTTAATTGCCATTGTTGCTTCACCTTATGTGTTTGTGTTGAAGATTTGGAATTCACTATGCATAAAACCATTTGTGACATCAAGTAATAGTAGAAACATATCAATTTTTAAACAGCAGTCTTTGAGTTACATAGTAAATTGCTACCTTATTCCACTGATCCTATCCTTTAGAAAGGTGGCACTTTCAAATCTTTGGCTCTTCAGCAATGTAGCACTTCAAACTTGTCATTATCATGTGATCACATATTTAAATTTTGCTGTTAATATAATAATTTCCTGAAACATGTTAATGATTTACATGACAAGGTGAAAAAGCAAAGACACATCCCTGGCACTGAATACTGTTATGTAAAATAATTGGTGTTTAACTGTATAAATATATTCATGACTGTTACCTTTAAATAGACAAATGTTTAGTGATGTTTCAAGATATGGATGGCTATAGAGAACGGTGCAATAAAGGTATCTGGGCATTGTGCACTATGTCTATATGCACTTTGGTTTATCAGGGATATTTTATTAGTGTTTTGTATGTATTGAACATTAATATTAAAGATGTGCCAATTCATCTTGCTTTCCAATATTTTTATTAGACCAATTTAATGTGTACCAAAGTGACTTTGAAACTGACTTATTTTTTTCTTAGTGATGATTTGAAGACATACTGCCAGTCTGTCATGCATATTGCAAATAAAACAAAAGTTCAGCACATCTGACTGTTTTGGTTTGGAAAGACAATATACATTTCATTTTGATCTTCATGAGTTGCAAGGTTTTGGAAATTTATTCATGTAAAATATATGAAACTAAACTTTTATTAGATACTGGAATTTGATTCTCGTGTAATTTTTATGCTTGATTACTGCATGTTTTTGCTTTAAAAAAGGCATTTTTCTAAAGAGGCGTCTATTGACTCTTATAATATATAGACAAGAATGGCTGTGCCTTTTGAACCTAAATTTAAATGTTAGCTTGCAGAAAATTCAACAGGTACTGTATATTTGGAAAAGCTTGTACTAAAGCCACATAGGGAAATATGTTCAAGGGGGCCTCAACATGATCTATCAAACTTTCTTCATGCAGAAGTTTTGCATGCAAAAACTTGCACACACTAAATTGCATCTGCAGGCTTGAAGCCGCTTTGAAAATTTGTCCAAAACTCAATTACTATTCTCAGATTCCCAGGAAGGAGTTCCTTCTGATTGTTGTCTGGGTTTATCATCTGAAAATAAACTGACCAATTAAAATAAGAACCATATTTTTGTTTTTCTACAGAAAATGCAATAATCAATGGATAAATGGGTTCATTTTAAGACAAGTAGTTTCAGTCTTGTCAATCAACCCTAGCTTTTCAAAGCAAGAGCAATAGTTATTAGCATATGTTAGACTGATATGTTTGCCAATTAAACACTATAACTCCCTATATTTTTAACTGAGCATGAATGAAGAGCTGACACCTATGCTTTCTAAATTCACATATTTCTGAATCTGCTGTGGTTCTGTAATTTGCTGCAATGTTGCTGAGAACTTAAATAAAAGGGTGGCAAAGTATGGTATCAGTAATGCTAAACATATGTGGCTTTATGTATATTCTGCCATCAGGTATACTGTGAATTAAGAAAAGTATTTGAAATTATATATCTTGTCCTATAAGAGTTCACAACAACGTCTGTTATCATTACTAGTCAATAGGTATGATTGTGTTCCCATGATAATGCAGGAACTCTCACCTACAGCTGGCTCCTGGGTTACTGCAGACGAGGGCCCCGGGGCTTATAAAGTGACAGTCAGCATTGTAGCTACTGAGAAAATAACTTGTCACTAATGATTCAAAGTGTCGTTCTAACCTACCCTCTTCCTCAGCACTTTCCCCCAGTCTGGGTTTATTTGGGTGGCAGGAATTAATGTAATTCTGTTAGCTGCAGTGCCCCAGTACCTCCTGGTTCTAGGCAAGGCAACAGTCACACTGTCCATGCAGGGGGACAGACAGCGTGCAGTGACTCCTCTGTGGGTAAAAGAGAGAGAGGTGGAAAGCCCTAGCCTTCCACTGGCCAAGAACTACTGGTTAAAGATTGCACCCCAGCCAGTCTGCCCAGGGGTGGGGAGACAAGGATTTTAGTAGTTTCTGACTAGACTTGGGGGGAGGGATAGCTCAGTGGTTTGAGCATTGGCCTGCTAAACCCAGGGTTGTGAGTTCAATCCTTGAGGGGGCCACTTGGGGATCTGGAGCAAAATCAGTACTTGGTCCTGCTAGTGAAGGCAGGGGGCTGGACTCGATGACCTTTCAAGGTCCCTTCCAGTTCTAGGAGATGGGATATCTCCATTAAAAAAAAATGCTCTAGAATAAGAATATGGCTAAACCCCCTAATCCTAAACTTTGTCACATGCAGTTCACTGACCCCAGGATCTGGCCCAGTGCATTCATTGACTCATTCAGACTAGATGATCTAAATAATCCCTTCAAGCCTTAACATCTATTAATGATCCTGGTTTAATCTTTATTAGGCGTCTTCATTTCCTGATTTACAGAAGTCAGGGGTTTGCAGTGAGTCTCCCAGTCACTAATGTCAATTAGCTCAGTTCTACTTCGCTTGTGTAAAAAGTTCACCAGATTCCAAGTTCCTCCTTAAAGGCAGAAAAGGTTTGCTCTAAAGTCTTCACAGTTCTCGCAGGCAAGATAATCATTTAGGAGATGCCACCACATTCAGATTGAAAGCTAGACAGCTGAGCAAGAAATGACTTCCATATCAATTATTTTAAATTAGAAGCTATACACAGCCTCAGACAAGACTACGGCTTTTTGAAGCTCAGATATATGCACATATAAGTAAGCCCAGGGCTGAGATTAGTGGCCTTTTACACTTTAATTCCTCCTTGTTTTTAGTTAAGTCACTGTTACTCTGCATAACAGCATATAAAAGGAGTGAAGGAATAAAGAGCTCCTGAGTATAATTTGTGACAGGCCTAAGGTGGAATTCTGGAGTAACAACATAGCATTATTGCATCTGAAGAAGTGAGGTTCTTACCCACGAAAGCTTATGCTCCCAATACTTCTGTTAGTCTCAAAGGTGCCACAGGACCCTCTGTTGCTTTTAACATAGCATTAGTAAGCCTGTTATACTTCATGACAATGCAGTGAACTCATGTCACCACCACAGCTTAGTGTTAATATAGCATAAGGGAAAGACCTGGGGTGCTTGGATTTATTATAGAGATGGGGCCCAACATGCAAAATTCAGATCTGGCTTTGAGCACCCTAGAGTTTGATGGTATCAGGATTTAGGGTCTCAGTTAAACCTGCTATAATTAAAAGGGTCCATTTGTCAAATTCCCAGCCCAGTTTGTATTTCAAACCCTGCCTCCATTGCCAAAGCCGGAGTGTGTCTGTTGCTGATTTTATAGGATACGACTTTAAATGCTCTTCTAGGATAAGACTTCCCCCACATGCTGTTTATTTACCTTTCCTCTTTTTTTCTTTCAGGGGAACGTTGCCAAGGAGACAAGTCCATGTTTTGTCGCATGGAAGTTCTCTCTCGTTACTGTTCAATGCCTGGTTACAATAAGCTGTGTTGCAAGTCCTGTAACATGTATAACAACATAACAGAGGATGATAATGTAACTGATTCTAACCTAAATAAGAACGACATTGAGGAGAATCTCCTGTCTACCCTTACTCCTCCTACTGGGGTGGTTGTCATGCAGGCTACTGCTGGTCCTCCTCTTGTTTCCAAATCAAACGCCACCCATTCCAATGCAACTGAGGACCACCCAGAAATTAATGCGGTAGACGTGCCATATAAAATAGATGGGCTGGACAATGAAGTACCGCAGCACAACCTCATCCCACGGAGGAGGCTGCCTTACGAAAGGACAAAGAACCAAAGAATTCAGGAGCTGATCGCTGAGAAAAGAAAGAGAGAGACTATTAGTAAGCGACATTAAAATGGAAATATGGCACAAACGACATTTTTTTCTCTTATAGAGATGTTACCACCACCATAGTAATGCCCATGTCATAAAAACTAGAAAAAGAAAAAAGCGGTGCTATGGCAGAAATGCCAAATTCTAATGCCTAAAACGAACAGAAATGTCAGATAGTTTCATAATGTTAGTATAAACATTTCAATGGCTAGGGTTACAGGGTGCTAGAACGTACTAGTGCAATATCAGTACAGTATTTCACTGAAGCCAAACAAACCTATTACCTAGCCCAGATCAGCAGGTTTATTGATTATGGGCTCTTTTCACCCCTCAATGCATTGCATAACTCCTAGGGAATGTTAATGGGAGTTATATTGAACAGGGAGGAGAACAGATCCCATTACCTACAAATGCCTTTAATAGTGACAATCAGTTGATCAAGAGAAGCATTGCATCAAACCGTACATAAAATTACTCCCAGATTCAGGAAGGTATTTAAGAACATGCATGACTTTAAACATGCAAGTAGTCCCACTGCCTTAAATGGGACTATTCTCATGGCTACACTTAAATGGACACTTACATACCTTTCTTAACTGGGACCTTACATGTGAGATTCTTTGTACAACCATATATTTAATCTCAGTTCAGAACTGATAACCAGTAGTTTGCATGTTCCCATAAACAATTTCAAAGCATTTGAATCTATAAAAATTATTTACTATTTGACTGGACCTATACAATTTAGACTGACAATGTCCTAGTCTTTTGAGTATCTTTATTTCATAGTCTCTAAACTCCTGTAATACAATATCCCCAATGGTTTTAGTTGACATTCTTTTCGGTCTACCTTTTATCCACACTCTGTTTAACTTAAAATGACTGGAGTCTTTTCCTTTCCTTTCCTTTGGTGCTTCATGAAGAAAACGTAGTTGTGTGTGTTAACGTTTTCCATGGTACAATGTTATGTCATTCTGAAGGAAAACAATGTGTATTATCAATCTTTCCTTAGGACAGCTCTGGTGCAGCAGAAGTGAACAATTGTTCATCATGCTTATATATAAACACAGTACCAAGTTTGCTTAGATCTTAGAGATGTGTATCCTGACAGCCCTTTGAGTACTTCCTTTCCCTGCAATATCTTCTGGTAGCTGAGGGCCTATATAAGCAACCTCACCATTTTCCATAGCTCATTTTGGACGGCTGGTAGGTAGAAGACACGTTCAACTTGGTGGTTTGTACCTTTTGCCGAGGCCATGCCTGCTTTCAAATGCCTCTATATAATGCAAGGATGTTACCAGCCGACTTACAGGATAACTAATGTGAATAGTAGGTATTGAGCCTTTGAGCCAAAGACCACTAAGCTCAGTGGAAAGGCTCCCATTGACTTCTGTGGGTTTTGCAAACCCTGGACTATTGTAGGAGTAGGAATTAAAACCTTTGTGGGTATGGGGTTTATTAATTTTGCTCTTGCCTACGGGGTTGACTTTCCCTTGTCTGCTCAAGCTTGTTAATATTTTCCAGGGGATAAGGTCTCTTTGAAACTGCCAGTTCACATAGAAAAGGCAACTGAGAGGTGGCAAAATGCTCTCAATTCAAGTTTTTGATCTTGAAGTGAGACCACGACCTTGTATCTTCTCAGTTGCACAGCTAGCTTGGGCATATGCTAAATTCCCAATGCATGTAAGATGCTACGTAGCTTCGTTGCTGCTGAAGCAATGTTGAACCTGGCAGCCAGGCCCTCACTGAAAAGCAAACCACAACTGGCTTTCTACTGTCCAGGCTGGGGCCCCCATTGCTGCTTTTAAATGTTGTGAGTGAATGGGTCACCTAGGTCCATTGCAAAGTATCCCAGTTTAGATTGGAAAGAGACAGCGCTAAAAGTAGCCCTGAGTGCACTGAATTATTGAAACCAGCAGCTGAATCTATGCTCAGAAACTCTTGAAAGGACAAGAGTTAACAAAAATAATTTACAAAGAATATTAGACAAAGTAGTAGAGGAGGGGCCAATTTTATTCCTGTTGTAATGCCATCAGCTTCACTTCCTCACAGGATGGTGTGGAGGTCAATTCAAAGTAATGCTCCTATAACAACCTCAATTGACAGAAGTTACATCAGAGCTTGATATAGGTAAAGACTCTTGTAACATCCCTGTGCTCTCAGGTTTCAGGGTTCAAAGTATTAGCTCAAGCCACAGCAGCTCAAGGAGCTACGCTGAAACCTCTTTAAAGGGGCTAACTGCTAAAGGGGGACAAAGATCCACACTCTCCCCCTATACACTATACTTACACAACCTCTTCCATTCTTTTCCTACAATGGCCTCTTCTCTTGTGGCTGGTGGGAGAACATTCTACTAAAGCATGGGTTTCTTTTTGGTTCTAAAAAATAAAATTAAAGGTCCATATTGTAAAAACACTAACGAAGGCCAGGTTGGTGTATGTGTTAGGTCAGGTGGTTGAATTAATGGCTCAGATGAAGACAAGAACTCAGGTATATCTCCAAGACAGCTCTTCCCTTCTCAATCTCATAGAACTGGAAGGGACCCTGGAAGGTCATTGAGTCCAGGCCCCTGCCTTCACTAGCAGGACCAAGTACTGATTTTGCCCCAGATCCCTAAATGGCCCCCTTAAGGATTGAACTCTCAACCCTGGGTTTAGCAGGCCAATGCTCAAACCACTGAGCTATCCCTCCTCCCCTATCTTAGTATCAAACAGCTCTACATTTGATGCACAACACCATCTTCTACAATCCCCAACTGCATACAGTCTGCCAAAAGCTTGGGCAGAAATGGGACAACTACCAGTTTTGGCAAAGAGGAGAAAGGGCAGAAGAGATAGTAGGAAAATATTGTTTGTGGGTAGGGGGGTGTACACACCCACTATTTTTGTGATGGAGGAGAGAAGTATGAAAGAAGATAGGCAGTGCAGAGAAGAGGAAAGGGGAAGAAGCTGTGGGTGCAGCTGCTGGCTGAAGACAGTAGGGTGAATTTTCATGATTCCAGAGCTACTTTAGCTTAGGTTGTGATTTTATGCTACATGCTCAGAAAGTGGTGAGGTTGCTAGCTGTGGTCCTGGCTCATACAGAGGGTGAGTTTGGAGCACCTCAGATGCAGCCCCAATAGATATATTAATATTTGGCTCAGCACCTGCAAGCTTAGCCCCTTGTGCTATCAAAGGAGGAGATACTAGCACCTGTAACAGAGGCACAAAGTTATTATTAATCATGTTTATTACATTGTTGCCTAAGGATCAACCAAGAATCCACCCCACACACTTGTGCTAGGCACTGCACAGAGCAGTAGAAAGGCCCTGCCATGAGACACTGACAGATAAATAGACGAGACAGACATCCTCTCTCTTTGTTTTTCCTGTGTGCTCCCAAGCATTGCTGAGTGTGACCTGTGCTGTCTGTTAGGTGCCCACAGCCAAGCACAGGCCTGAGCATGTGGGAGTTTAACATTATGCAGCAGCAGCCTTTCCTGGGGGTTTCACTGCAGATAACAAGTTTATCTGACAGACCCTCACAGTCTGGTTCAGAGGCTGCCATGTCATTTGCATAAAATATAAAAGTGAAGTCATGGGCTGCCAAAAGGAAAAATTGGGCAACTTTTATCTCAAAGTCTTAGCTAAAACAGCCCCAGTTCAGCTGCTATGCATAAAATCTGGATTCAGGACAAAGCAGGGTAGGTTTGAATTCACAGCTTGTAGAAATATGAGCTATTTTATGCTTTTCGAGTTTCCCCTGCTCTATTGTGACAGTTCAACTTAAAGAATACTCTCCTCTTTTCCTTTACCACCCTAACATTAGGTCTATGAGGGCAATACAATAAACAGGGAGGAGTTGATGAATGCTTGCAAAATTCATTTGGTCGCTTTGATGGATAACAACCCTGTACTGTCCTCTGGCACCTTCTGGGGTCATATTTCCTTCTTCACATACAGCCATGATAGAACATATTTAAATGGTTTCTGCTACTCCTGAGTGCATGGAATAGGTTTAGCGAGCCAGGGTATCCAGGAAGAAATACATGACTAAACCCCCACAACTCAAAGGTTGCCCTACAATTTACCCATTACCTCCATAGAGAGGGTGGAATGTTGTGGGTCAGAATCTAACAGAAAAGCTACATTTTCACTGAAACATCACACCCTAGGAAAGAGCAAATTCGGGGGGTGGGAGGGTGTCTGCTTTTCTGTATCATTTCACACAGCTCTACACTGCACCCATGGTTTGCATAGTAGCAAATGACTAGATGCATTCTGGCTTATGTTAGAACTATAGGAGAGCCAGGGCTGAACCCTCTGGAGATGAAACTTTTGTCAACCTCACGAGCTGCATTTTGAGTTTCAAAGCTAGTTCAAAGTTCAGAAACAGTTTGGCACTTCAACACTTTCCCCCTTCCCAAGGATGAATCAGTTCTTAAAATCAAACAAACAAAAAAACCCATTTACCAAGCTCAAGGGAAGCCCATGCTGTATAGTAGAAACAGAACACACCGCAGAAAGCAAGGCTGGTACCAGTATACATGTGGTATTCATTAGGGGCCTGACTGAACCAATGCCCACAAAAGTTAACGGGTGTCTTTCCATTGCGAGTGTTGGACCAGACCTGAGAGTTTCTCTATTTCTGACCTAGAACTCTTTCCTTTTTCAGGCTCTCTGTACTGAGCTTTCACTCTGCCTTTCTCCTTGCTTTATTTTTGACTATTTTTAATTCCAGTGGATTGCTTTTCCAACTTAGGCTGTTTTTGTTTGTTTGTTTGTTTTGCATGAAGTCAGTGACATTTGAACACAAGTCAAACTCTTCAGTCCATGTTGTTCAGCAGGGTAAGATACTGGCCAATGCGGGTTTGCCCAGCCCTCTGTGAAACAGAGCTGGCGGCCACCTTCTCCTTACAATATTTCCATAGGAGAAAGAATCTTACCCTAACTGATAAGAACTGCATTCCTTTAAGCTGACCATCGTATTTCTAGTTCACAGAAACGTGAAAACCCTAAATACCTTTCAGGATTTGGGCCACTCAGGTTAAGAGGGGAAGCAATAGTTGGGGTCTGGCCCACAGCTGCTTTTGTTCCTTTCCATGTGGTGGAATATATGGATTGTTTACAGGCCTGGTAAACTTTGGACAGCAGCTTCCTCTTGCATTGCTACTTTTAGTAGCATAGTTATAAACTGGGCAAAAACATAATTTTATTGCATGTTTTTTAATGTTTAACCATCGCATAGGCAGCACCTTTTGATGCCTCACAACCCCAGGGTACCAATTTAACACAATACCCAGGAATAAAAGAAAGGAATCTATGGAGTTGTAGATCGGCTATTTCTGTAGTTGCCGCTGGCTGGCTGATCTGAAAGCTGAAACAGCGTTCTCCCTTAAGAGAGAGGATTTCCTGGTAGATATTCATACAGTCATGGAGATTAAGGGCTTAGGGGCCCCGCACCATGCCCATTAAATCCAACCACCAAATTAATGCATCCAGATTTTGAACGCAAGCCCATCAACTTTCTAAATTAATCTCAGCTCAGTATCTTAAAGAGACTCTAAAAATTAACCGTATTTCCTTTGGCTCCAATCAACTCCCATTTTTAACTCACCTAATATTCCCTTTAGAATTCCTGTAATCCATGGTATTCATTCACCAGTCCTCATTTTAACACCTTCCATTCAATGTTTAGTCTCTCAGTACTCACTTAAAATTCTTTAAGATATTTGAACAGTCTATAAATGGTGCTTTACTAGTACTCAAAGGGTCTGTATGATTTACTTTATTATATAATGCATTTAATACTTTATATATTCACCTACAATGCACAGTATTAGCTATGTTCGTCTGAATAACTGTATGGCACTGCCATTCAATTACAATACATACGTCTTCACAGCAATTGCAATGAATAGCCATTTCTTGTATATTAAAATGTATATACAAATTAGAACTTTTACTTTTATAATTTATTAAAGTTCAAAGATCTGTGTTCTTTTGCAAAAGTGTTGGACTTTTCCCTTTGCTGACTCATTTTGTCCAAAGAAACATTGGATGTGGGTGTACTGAGGAAAGCAGGTGGTTTCAGACTCCAGTGAGGGTCTGTTTCCTTTCCTAGATGCTAGGTTTACTTCACTCTGATCAGGATGGGGTTGCTGCAGAAGTCCTGAGCACAAACACATTGTTAGTGTTTGGTCTCGGCTAGCAGAACCTCAGCTAGTATAAATAGGCGTAGCTTCATTGAAGTCAATCAAACTAATTTACAGCAGCTTGGGATCTGGTGCCACGTGTTCTGCTGAAGCCTGTGAATGTCTATCTTACTAGTTCAATGTTGTCGACTTCACAGATTTACTTATTTGGGCTTCAATTTCTGAATGTATGTTATTTTTGCTTTGGAAGAGAGATTTATACTCTAATTGGACCTTTCATAAAACACTCCCCTACCAGACATATTCTCCTACAATATCCTGCATGTTTATAAACAGATTCAGTGTGAAACCTCTCCCCGCTAATTGAACTTTGTTTCTTGAGGATCTGGAAGAGCATTGCTCTCCTTTTCTACTCAAAACTAGCACACAGCAGCATCCAATGTGATGCAACATGTTCTTTAATCAAAGTAACATACCATTTTCTTGTTTTTAGTTGAGAGGTGGATACATTTGTCTAGATGCTCTGGCAAGATACTGGATTAGATGCACCACCGGTTTGATCCCATATGGCAATTCCTATGTTCTCTGAGGCCTTGGCTACACTTGCGAGTTACAGCGCTGTAATTCACTCCCCGTCCACACTGGCAAGGCACTTACAGCGCCGTATCTCCCTGGGTACACCGCTGCAGGTACTCCACCTCCCCGAGAAGCATAAGAGATACAGCGGAGTGGCTACGACTCACAGGTGTGAGTGTAAACGCTTGCAGCGCTGTACTAATCACCTTGTCAAGTGGCCAATCCTCTCCATTGTTGTGACCAGCTGCAGGAATGCGGAAGTGCCGGTTTCAAAGCTCGTACCACAGAGAAAAAGCAAACAGTTTGCTGTTTGCTTTGAGTGAGTAAATGAATGAACAGGGGGCCGGGAGTTCGGAACTTGCAAAATAGAGTGCGGACATGCTCCAAAAAGCACTTCCTTCCCCCCACACTCCTTGTCACACTCGACCCCACCCCCCCGTTTTGAAAAGCACGTTGCAGCCGTATGAATGCTGGGATAGCTGCCCATAATGCACTGCTCCCGACACAGCTGCAAATGTTGCAAGTGTGGCCACGCCACTGCATTGGCAGCTGTCAGTGTGGACAGACTGCAGCGCTTTTCCCTACTCAGCTGTACGAAGACAGGTTTACCTCACAGCACTGTACAGCTGCAAGTGTAGCCAAGGCCTATATTCATACTGTGTTGGTTCCCCCCTTCCCCAAAATTTATGCATCTGATATAGTTTAGGCCCTGACCCAAAGGCCACCAAAATCAGAAGAAAGACTTCCATTGGCTCTAGTGGGCTTTGGATCAGGACTTCATAGCACTTATCTTCAGGATGTTTTTAACGGTAGATCAAAGAGGTAGTTAATATTTTATTCTGAATCAGACTATTTTACCTTTAAACATTAAACAGGGTCTGAGACAGAT